ATGCAGGGCAGGTTAAAGACGTAGCTTTGCAAGTCCAAAATAAACTAAAACAAATGTTTTCCTGTCCTCCAAGCAGCCGGTCGAGGCAGATGGTCTCCTGTCCTGAGCCTGGTTCTGCTGGAGGTTTCTTCCTGATTAGCAGGGAGTTTTTCCTCTCCACCGTTTGCTCAGGATGGGAGACTGTGATGAAGTGATTCAACACAATCTGCTGCTTTCTTCAGATTGATAGTTTTCTGTGTACGGTACCTCGAGACAACGTTTGCTGTGAGTTTGAGCTGTACAAATAAACTGAACTGCGTTCCTGTAAATTACTCTATAATAACAGAAGTTGTTGTGAACAGATCCACACCTACAGAAGGGTGAACCCTGTGACTCCAGCTTACCTCGATCACACAGACTTGAGGCTCAACTTCATCCCCATCAACGGGCACTTTGGCCTGTTTCACAACCCATTCCTGGATGGCGTCTGTAATATGTGGCACCACTGGAACAGAGTCATGTTTAACAACATTTTATTGGTCTGGTCTTCAGTAGAATTTATGTCACTTCAGACAATAAAACTGAGATAAACTGTAGTGATGGTTTTCATCTTTACCAGGTTCTAAAATGACTCAGAACAGAAAGACTTACCCTGCACGGTCTTGCCCAGGTAGTCTCCCCTCCTCTCCTTGTTGATGACTGACTGATAGATTTTTCCTGTCGTCAGGTTATTATCCCTCGTGAGCCGGATGTCAAGGAAGCGCTCGTAGTTTCCCAGGTCCAGGTCCACCTCCCCTCCGTCATCAAGTACGAACACCTCACCTGGACACGACAGAAGCAGAACGATGACAACAGGAACACAACACACGGCTCGAGCTGGTCTCGCTCACCCACGTACCGTGTTCATACGGTGAGAACGTGCCGGCGTCTATGTTGATGTAGGGATCGATCTTGATGGCTGTTACACGCAAACCACATGACTTGAGGATGGTGCCCACGCTGCTGGCGATGATCCCTTTGCCAATGCCTGAGATGACTCCTCCGGTCACCAGGATGTATTTCATCATTGTGCTCATTTGTCTGTGGACAGATGAGACAGTCAGTCATTGATATACATCACTGGATTGGGCGTCACGTGACCTGGGCGTGCTTCGCAAGGGGGATTTTTATGCATTGAGCTAATGCTAACGCTAACCATTGAAATCAATGAGCAGAATGTAGCGCGGTGCAAACAAACGCTTTATAAACGTACAAATACTTTGCTATAAAATTGTAGGAATTACTTTGTGAAATTAGGACCAGCCTATTTTTCATAAATGTAATCCAGCAAGAC